ACAATGACACCGGACTGGGGAAACGAACCGAAACGCAGACTTAAATACACAGGACTAATGACAGCAACTCTCAACAGCTGATCAATACAGGGATTCCACTCGAGGTAACGAGGGGGCGTGGCACACGGGAGGATCGGACAAGCAGGGCATGACAACGCAGTTGCCACTATGTGTGAATGTAGAATATAACACTTAAATAGGAGTTTGTTATTAATGAAGTATTTTAATTTCATATATGGATATGTGTTAAAAAGCATCACAAACATGTTTATCAATCATTGAAAGGTACTGCTATAACAGAACGTACATGTTCTCTTTTTCTTTTTCAAATATTCGACCTCTGAAGAGATGTAGATGTATGTCTTTAGTTATTTATAAATTCTACAACCATTCTTGGGCATAATGTACACTTCATGTTTCGGGTGGTTCTTTGGGGTGCTTTTGGGGGATGTTTGTGTGTTCGCAGTTTGAAACACGGTTCGCAAACTGGTATAAAAAATTTTTGAATGTCTGTTTTGTAACCCGATTTGTTCGTGAACAGGACTGTTTGTGGGTCGAGGTACCACTGTTTCTCATTTGTGCTAGTTGTCGGAGGAACAATGCAAAGGGAATTACAAGCTGCTTCAGCTGAAAACAGTGCATTTTACAGTTCCTTTCAAATAAAATGCAGGGTTGCCAGCTTTGGTCAGGTGGCTGGTATGAGATTTGTATATTAAAAAAAAAAAAAGCATATACAGTTGTTAAATATAAACTTTGACGAACATGAAATCGTTTATTGGTTATGTCTGTTTATCCAACATTTTGTAAAATACTGCACCACAATTTGGTAACTCTAGTTGTTTTTCATAATTTTGCCGTCAATTACCTTCCAGAAACTCTTGATAGGGTCCAGATCAGGACTCTGACTGTCATCACTTTAATGTTCTCAACTTCACCTTACCTGTGATAAGGAGCTTTGTCTTGTATAAAAATAACTGGCTGACTGGTGGTTCCTCCCCTATGAGCATCACCATGTCGCTCAAGGAGGTTCTGATACATTAATATTCACCTCATGTAATCGTATGACAAGCAGGCCTGATTCCTGAGGCTAAGGCTGTCACAATCACAAAGTAACTGGCATTATATGGCGCAAGCACAATAATCACCAGAGCTTTTGATGGACGAGTGAAATGTAAAAGTAAACAGAGGACATACATCATTGGTTTTTCTGTCATATGTCGAGATTACGACTTATTTTCCTCTTGATCTCAATATAGCCGAAGTCGTTTTCTCAAGATCACAAAATGTGTTATTTCGGAAAAACAAAAGTTGTAACATGCAAATAGCATGTGTCATGAGTAGGAGGGAAGTGCTATTGCATTTGTGCAGTTTTTTTTTAAAATTATTAATTTATTTATTTATTACATTCTCACAGAAAATCTAAAGTTCCCTGTGTCCTAGACTCTAGTGAGAAATTAAAGTTTAAAAAGTGACAGCGGCAATAAAATTTTCGCACAATTGCAGTTAAACCGCGATTCACATACGGCGGGATCCATACGGATCAGCTGGGGTCTGTTATGCCACTAGCATTTTTATCATTTGTGAGGAAGTTAGACATTCATTGTAGATTCTTGACAGTCGTCCTGCTACATGAGATACTTGAGCTCAATGAATAGAAACAAGGATCACGCAAAACAAACAGCAGGGCAACTTATTTCTCTGGCTTGCCAGCTAACGTTAGCGTACTACACTATGGTTCATGCATCAAGCCTGTGACCTTGTTTTATCCTAAATCAGCAGGGGAAAAAAGCATTATTAAACACACAACACATTCATAAAATTTTATAACGCTGTATTACATGTTAAAAACAAAAAAGGCTTGTTAGATTATTCATATTTGTGCATTTTCACCACTTTTAAACATTTTTTTTCTTATGATGAACCCTATAGCTAATTTTAAGGTGGTATAAAATTTGTTATTTGCTGCATTGAAACTATTTGTGTGGTGTATCCGATTGTTTACGCAGAAAACTTGAATGTGGGGACAGTTTATCCTAAATCCATCATATGCGAAGATCGAACTTGCGCTTAGTTGGTGCCACCCACTGCTTGAGTCTGAGGTCTTTCAACCACTTTTGACATGCCTTGACATTTTTATATATGTCACCTATCTAAAAAACATTTCTCTTAAAGTGCTGCATAGGGTTTTATTCAGCACAAACTCAGCACCAATATTTTGAGACCATTTAAACTGTTGTAATGTATTTCTTGTTTAAATCAACCATAAATGTTTTGCTTATTATGACTTCTTGTGTGTCGTTCACTCTAGCCAGACTAAACTATGCTCATGATCAAGTTCATTAGTTGCAAACCTATTTGATCATTAGTGCATTCATTTGCAACACTGGCCATCAATTCAACTATAAAATTTTACATTTGGGCATGCACAGGTAAGCAAGAACAAAAAGACAGCCAGTGTTCATCGTTATTGTATATAACTTTTGCAAATGTCACCAAATTTCAGTCAACAAAAGTATGTGTACTGGTTAATTATATTTCTCCCCCCCACTGCTAAATGCAGTGTCAATCCAAAATTTATTTTGAACTGCCCCAGACCTTACCCCTGCCTGGGCAGCTCGTAGGGGTCGAGGTGTTTAATAAGAGTTTTTTTCCTCATACCAAGTCCTCCAATGCCCATTCCTACTTGACGAGGTAGGGGTCAACACACCTGTAATAGTTTGCATGTTGCCATCAATCTTTAATGTTATTGTCACTTCTTCCCCATACCCATCAGTTTATATAGTGTAAATTGTAAGAAAAGAGACAAGAAAACCCTTTTACAGTTTATAACATGCGATGGATGAAATGTTGATAAATAAAAAGTGCAATCGCATATTACTGTAATAATACAAAACAAATAAATTATTAAACAATAAATTGTCAGTCCCGATCAAGATACCAAGCTTATGTCTGGTTGAAAGCAAAGCTAGACACCACTTGCTATGTGCTTCCTGGGCGGTTTTGTATGTATATAATATAATAATTTGTAAAATATATTCATATTTACTGCAGAACTGGAACACATTTACCAAAAGCTCCCTGCCTAGATACTGGCGTAAAGACTGCTACTGCTACTGAATGACCTGAATGAGCAGGGTATTTTGTGCTGAATTTGAGAAATGGCTAAAGTATGTTTATAGAGCTAGGAGATGTACCATATTGATACTAACATTGCATATTTATGTGCAATTCTCACATAAAGACTGTGATATTCAGCTCATTTGAAATCAAGCTTTTTCATACCATCATATATCATATCATTTTGTCATGCCATCCAGAGCTGACCGGACCGCAAGTAAAACTTGGGTCTCTTAATTTGTCCATGCATGCATGCATCATTATTCCTTTTTTGGGATATTGTATTACTTTTTTTTTATATAATTTTTTTTGTAAGCTATATTTTGATATTGTGATATTTGTATTTGAAGGGCACAATTCAATTCTTCATAATAAGCCATAGAAAGGTCACCAGTGAAACCCTTGCATTCCCACGTGAACATTTATAAGATTGTATTTGTAGTTTCTGCAAATTTTTATATGAGAAGACACTAAAAAATTCCAATAGGTGCAAGTAGTTTTTCCTCATAAGAAGCATATCATCAAGATATGTGTCAGCAATTTCACTATCAAATTGTGATACATCTGAGTAGCCCAGAATGTCCTGGAAACAAAACCATACGGCATATGTGGCTAACTCATGTAAATACAATGTCACGAGCCTAAAATCAAATGGGGGGGGGGGGGGGGGGGGG